TGTCCTGATTGTTAATTGAAAATCCGAACTATTTGGCTTTGATCTGAAATTGGAGATTTTATTTCACGGTACCCAAGTTTTGCGCTCCGCCTGCATTTCCTTGGGCGGCAGTGCACTATGTCTGCCGATTATGCTCGAAGATTCCCTGGGCGTCCGGGTTGATGTGTAGGTCTTCCTGGCACGCTTAAATAGTTGCTACTGTGAGCCTTGTCTGCGAACATCCGTAGCAATCTGGTATGCAATAGACGCTCGGATAGACAATCGTCATCAATGCTCACGGATTGGCTACTCCAGTGCAATTGTTTCTGCTCCAGCACACCCTGTATGCTGAGAATGCCAGTTCCCTCCAAGATCTCGGTTTTTTGAGATACTTTTTTCCGGTTTCCTCTTTAGTGTCCCTCGGAGGCAATTTAGATGAAAGTGATTTCGTTTTTTTTTCGTAGCTGTCGTACGCTGTCCAAGTCTCCATCCCGTAAAAGAATGTCGAAATCAAGGCCCTGGTCATCTTTCGTTCCGCAGTTAGAAAGATGCTGCGACAGTCTTAGACCGAGTACTAGTCACTGCCAAGGTGTGGATGCCTTTGTAGACTCGTCTTGTAATTTCGCTGTCGATCTTGATGTTGCTTGGAATGGTACCCCCAAGGTACGCATACCTGTCCACAGCTCTGAGGTCAGTTCCTCTAACGCTTAAACTGGACTCGTATTCTCCAGCTAATGACGGCCGATACACAGCAGTTGTTTTCTTCATCCCTTCACTGAGTCTGAAATTTGAGATACTAGAGTTAATGAAGTTCACCCCCCCCCCACTGCGTAATGGCCACAGTTGTGTTCAGCTCGCAGCTATCAGCGAGCAAAGGTTCGTGTATGCTGGTCTTGGAGACCTTACCGTTTCCCTGTGTGTGTCCGATGAAGAGTATGTGGTCGTTGGACTACTAATTAATATCGATTTCGGACCGTCTTTTAAGGTGTGCTTCCAGGAACATGCCATAAAGTTTAAGGTTAAAGAGGATGCGGGCGCGTATACAGTCCCGCCTAACCGATTGGGTAGCGAAAATTTCTGCGACGACAAAGAATTGCATGTGACGTAACACGCGGTAAACGTACACATGGATATCTGGTGAACTATAGTCCACCGATCGCTTACATGTTGGCAGTTGAGAATGGAACACATGGTGTGAAGTTCAGTTTGGAGACAACTCCTGCACACCCTTCTTGCTGTGAATATAACATTCACGTGTTCTACAAGAACTTCCTGATTCCCACCTTGCGCGGCTTCTGCGGCCATTCGGTGGACCGAGCCAATGCGTTGCAAGCAGCCGAATCGAGTGATTAGCTTTCTACTGCCCCGGTAGCGAGTGGATCCAAAAATAGACCCTTCCCCTCGGTGCATGCCAAATCCTTTGGCGTGGTATGACTAGTATTGTCCGCCGCTGTTTTCTTTGCGCACCATGCCTCTCCCTCCCGCCCTCCCTCTCGCCCAACTGTGCGGCCGTCGTATCTCTATTGCATTCCAAATCTCACAAATAACACTGCACTTTTACAGACGGTCGTCTTGAAACACGCCCACTGTCCTATAAATAAGTCATTCATATAGACCAAAATGTTTGAGAGTGGGTTCGTTGCTGTGTAGGTGTAGCACAGAAAAGGCTTGCAAATCCTTCAAAAGTTGTCCCATCGTGGTTCATAAATATGCACTAACTGAGAGGTTATGCGCGTGTTTTGCCCACGTTTTGGTTTTTGCAAATGCCACTGGTCCGGTTCCACAGTTGGTCTTTTACCCTCCTCTGAAGAAATACTGACACACTAATTTAAAAAATCTCCGCCATAGCAAGTGATGTTAATATTGTTAGACTAATGAATAGTAAAAACCGGTGTGCTTAATTGCAAGTCATTCATTCTATAATTTACGCAATTACTGCTTTCTCCAGTACATCTGGAGCTCATCAAAAACTCCTAGGGAGAGATGTGAACACCGGTGGAGACAAAGGAGACTGAGCTAATCCAAAAGTCGTAAAATATGGGATTCGCTGCTGCCCCGCGAATTGTGTGCGACCGTGGCATGTGTAAGAATTTACTTATAATGAAACAAAGTTTAATTACACCTGATTCACGCCCTCCTCTCCACTCACTGGCGAAACAAACATAAAGCGATCGGAGGTGGAAGTGAGTGCACTGGGCGACCAAGTTAAACGGGTCGTCTAAGCGCGCCACAAAGTACATTCACACGTACCATTACGCACTTTGACTAGGAGAGGCGGGGGATCGATGGTCACAGGCATGGGCCCGTCATAAAGCACATATATAAGAAGGATGTTTGGTTACCCAACCTCGAAGGGTGACGGTCCAGGCTAAATGTGGGGCCACGTGTCGCTCTTCTATGTCAAAAGGTCTGAAAGCGTGTGATATGCCAGTATCAGCAAACCATGGCCCTCGCAGTCTGGTATGCGCTGGGTGATGGGCATGGCTGCCCAGTCATCATCCTCGTCCTTATGATCCCTGATTGGGTGTTGCTGTTGTTGTTGTTGGTGAAAAATTCTGGCCAAGTGTATATTGTGAACCAGAGGGTGTGATGGCATGCCTCATTGCCAGTCCGGCCGTGCAGCCACCTGCGCCCTCCCCCGCCTCCCCGGTCTACTTGACTCTGTCTTGGCACCCGGTTCTGGTGGTGAGTGGGGGAGTGAGAGTGCGGTAGATGCTGTGCAAGTCCGCCGCCGCTAAAAACTCATTCTGGTGCAAGTCATCGCGCCTGCTGCACCTTGTTGTCTGGCACACGGTGGACATCGTTGGAATTGACAGTCGAACAGTCATATAAGAAGAAACCCTTGTAGTCTGACATTCTTTCCAAGGGGAGTCGAATTGCGCCCTTAGATAGCAACCATCTGATCAACGACAGGTAGCGCGTCATAAGGGGTGTAAGGTGTGCCTGACTGATTATAGTAAAAAGCTGGGCGCTGAAACCAGACTGGATTGGCCTCCTTCTCCGCTCTCTCACGCACCGGTTGTCTGTCCGATTAAAGATAACGGGGGAGAAGACGGTCGAATTGACATGGAGTCAGTCTTACGCGTGTCACCCACATGGGTTCTGTACTCATAAACGATATATGCATACAGTAGATGCTCTATCTCCTGAAATGTTAACTGAAATTCCGAAATGCGTATTCGACCCAAAAAGATTACTTAAGTATAGTTGTGAGGTTAGTTGTCGTGCAGCATAACCACGAGATATTTCAGTCATGTCAAGATACCGGCTTTCGAATAAGTTCCTTTTCAGTCATCTTTAAAAACTACACTTTGTAAGGAATGACTGCTTATGTGGTGTGAATATTCTCGGTTGATTTCTGATGTCCTTATAAAAAAATATTTTATAGAAAACGTGCGCAAAAATGCCTCTCTCACACTCATTTGGTTGCAGATTCCGTCATCTCCGAATTTGCTATTTGAAGGTTTTAAAACACTTCTAATTCCCAAGTACTATTTGCCAGGATTTACAAACTGCATACTGCATGCAATCCGTCAAAGGAATATCACTCATTTCTCTAGGATTCAAGGAGGCCATCATATAGCGGTGGCCTGACACATGTGGTCCCCTAAACAGGACATGGGAATAAAAACGCCCCGCCCAAGTAATGCAGGTGGACCTGCCCTTAATCCCGGAAAGGGCAAAATATTCCCGTGTCCTATACCCAAACGATAGCTCTAATACGGAACTAGACCGTTGCCCTAATCCTTTACCCTAACTTTGCCCTAAACCTTGACTCTGCAGTTAACACCGGTCGCCACTTTAACCCTAAACTTGATCCTGACTTACCCTACTGTTCACTTTAAGTCTAGCCTTAGGCCCAGTTCTAAACCTAACCGTAATTTCACTGGAAGTTGACTCGCAGACACCCGTATTGCAGGTGATCCATATTCCTATGCCCTGTTTAGGGGGTCACATAAGTCGGCCCAACCCATATAGCACTACTAGGATCGTACAACGGATATGGATCTGTGGCATTTATAAACGTGCCGAGACAATGCTGCATGAATGAACCTTTTTACGGTCCTAAAAAATTGAAAGATAGTCTTTTTGAGCATGAAATTTGAAGAAGATGTAATCTGTTACCAAATGAGTACGAGGAAGAATGCTTTTGCGCCCATTTTCTATAAACTGTAGTTTTGTTTGTAAAGGCATCGACAATAAATGAGAAAAATCCACACTACACAAGCAGTTATTTTTTACAAGTCGTAGTTTTTGCAGACGGCCGAAAGATGACTCATTCAAAAGCCGGCATCCTGGGACGACTGAAACATCATAGGATTATGCTGCACGACAGTCAATATTACAAGCATACCTTTGTAATCTTTTCAAATCGAAAGTACATTTCGGAATTTCGGTTAACATTTAATGAGATAACACATTTGATGCAAATGCAGACATGCATATTGCTCAAATCCATTGCTTAATTTTATGAACCTCATATGGTCTCCTCTTAACACCGTAGTGAAATGCATGCAATTATGTTAACTTTACAAGGGACATTCGTAAATGCAGACACATGACGTTTCATGAACGGCCATTTAACGGTTTTAAAAAATCTCCCAATTAGAAACTTTTTAAAACCGAATTATACTCTTCTTTTGAGTATGAAATTGGAATAAGAGGTGATTTTCTACCGAATAAGTAAAAGAATGCATATTTTTATGCACGGTTTCCATGAAATATAATTGAATTTTCAAGGGCATCGAAAATCAATGAGAAAATTGCATACTAATTAAGCAGTCATTTTTGCAGAGTATAGATCTTGCATGCAGCCGAAAATAAGTTCTTTCGAAAGCCGACACCCTGAGGTAACTGGATCATTATAGATTTATGCTGCATCATGATTAGTTTTACAACACTACTTAATTTATCTTTTCGAAACGAGAACGCATTCGGAAATTTTGGCTGACATTTCAAGAGTTAGCACATCTACTGTATTTGTTTCATCGAGGTCTAAATACCTGCGGATTTCCTCGAACTCAGGAGTAATCTAAGCGTCCACAATCGCCCCCAGCTTCTGCAGTGCGATGTGGCGATAACAGAAGAAGGTCGCTTTGCAGGAGCAGATGGTCGTTGTCGTTGCAGCCGACGATTCCATGAGGACACAACACTCCCCTCCAGACAGCGTAGTCCATCCCGACGCGGGTACTGAAATCACCAAGGACAACCAGCTTGTTAGCCTTCGGCACAGATACCAGGAGTGGGTGCAGGTCCTCGTAGAACTTGGTCTTGGTCTCGTCAGAGTTGGTCATCAGTGAGACGTAGGCGCCGATTAGGATGGGAGATTTGACTCCCCGAGGAGGCAGGTGCAGGCTAATCAGTCGGTCGCTGACATCCTGCAGCAGACAGGACAGTCGTCCCAAGAAGGACAAAAGCGGCGCCTGCGTGACGTCCTTCTGCCTTTGAACGGTCGCTCCAGAAGGTGGCGTAGTTGGCACCCACCTGCTTCAGTTGGCCTTGTCCGGGGAACCAAGTCTTGTTGAGTGCAGCGATGCCCACCTTGTAACGCGCCATTTCCCGAGCGACTACTGATGTCTTCCGTTCCGGTCAGTTGCCCCACGGAGTGCCTGAAAGTGAACGAACATTGCAGGTTGCCAGAGTGAGCGGTCTCATCTAGCAGTCTGTGGGCGGACGGGGAGGGGGTAGCGGAGGGAGGGAGGTTTTTGTTTCTTCTTTCGTTATTTCAACCGCATACATTGAAGTCTGCAAGCCACAGTCTACATGCAGACGTCGTGAACTCAGGATATGTTCAGGCCACCTTTTATATCCCCTTCCCTCTCGATGGAGTAAGCAGTGTTGTCCCTAAATAAGTCTGCTTAGCCGTCCCAGACGGCTGCCGGACTCCACTGTATGTTATTTTCTTGTTGGTTGAGAGCGATTCGAGTTAGCCTGGACGGCCTACGGGACTGCATGCCACTCTCTCGGTCCCATGTTTTTGAGGTGGGAGTGAGGAGGAGTGAACGAAAGGGAAGCGGGAGGCGAGGGGAAGGGAGGAATAGGAAGAAGTCGGAAAGGAAGGAAGAGAGTGCGTGTGATGGACAGGAATGGTGTGGTGACACATACACGACGCCGGATACCCTCATCTGCACTAGCTCTTCTGTCGAGGCGGTTTTCTGTATGTGTCTGCTAGGCTCAACAT